ATGTACATATGTACATTATTTTAAAGAAAAGGTAAAAACTTAAAATATCGATAGATTATACTAATTTTATCAAAGTTAATTGTATAGTTTTACAAATCGACGGTATGTATGTTTGGCTTAACTTTTAATAAAACTCTGCACGCAATTTATTATTTTTGAACAAATGTCAAAATGAGTAAATAAATAAATTAATGTTTGTATGTGTGTATTATAGCAATATTTTATAAATACACAATGATATATATGTATATTTATACACAAATGCAAAAATACTATGTATGTAGGTATGTATATCAAAAATTAAAACGGCAAAAAATAGAGTTAACCTACGGTTATAAGAGTTCTCATACGGTTCCTGTTGACATTTTAATGTTGTTTGCTTTGTTACGAAACTCGTTCTAGTGTCATTTGAGTACTGTAGGCTTTTCCAATTTTTGAAATTTCTTGGTAACTCTTGGATTTATAACAACAACTGAATTTCACCAAAATAGTAGCCCAATTATTAATTCTTTTAAGTAAATTAACTTGAATACACTAAAGGTTTTAGAGTTATCGAAATATGATCTGTTAACTGTTTAAAGTCATAGAGCAGCCGTATTACCGAACTTCTTCATTGAAAAATTAAATATCTTATTCTTTATCGCAATTAAATAGGAATCCAACCGTAATTGCTATAAGTAGTATATATATGTGAATGCATTTTTGAATTAATTTTAAGACGGGCGGAGTGACAGACAAAGCTAAATCGACTCAGAACTCGACGCTAATCGTATACATACATATCTTAACCATCTATTTCTTAAAGTTACAAAGGGAGTGGTAAACTTATAATATCCCCCGCGTTCCAATCGGTATTAAAATGATTTTACCAGTGTACATTTATTCAAATTATCTTAAATTTTTATTAATTTTGTTTATATCTAAATTATATATCTATAACAAGAAAGTGCACATATGTACATATAATTAACACACTTATATACCATGGCTTATTTTTATATTTTTTGATCTGAAATATAAATTTGCAACTTAGAAATAAGTAACAACTCCAATGTATGTATAACATATCATTTTTAAAAATTTTTTTTAATTAAAATAAGTCCTTGACATCAATTAAGTTATACATATTTACAGTTTTGTCCCCAAGTACTCCTAAACATAAATACTTGAATAATGTATATCTCCTTAATATGACAATGCATTTTAGTGCCTAAGGGTGACTTATCTACATATACTCGTATGTATATATATATACATACATACATATGCATATGTACCAGGCTAAAATTTGAAGAATAAAAATTTATTATAATTGTTGTCCAACACATAAATAAATATGTTTTATGTATTTATATACACACATATATGTATGTACTTAGAATTTTTAAAATAATTCATTTCATTTATTATAAAAGTATTATCTTTTTTTTTACACTAAAAAAAAAAGATTTAAAAAACTTTAATAAGTTTTTCACAAGTTTTCACATATTTTCAATCCAAAGATATTTAAAACTTTAATTTTTAAATCTGGTTCAATAAATCTAGAAATACATACTGAAAAACCTAACTTAACACATTCCGCAAGTTTAGCTGTAGAAACAGATTTTTATGCACAAAAATAATTTATACATACCATAGTACCTACAGCACAAATCAAAAAAGGTCGGTCATAAAGGAATTTTGCATGCATAAAAGCCCAACAAGAATCACATAAGAGAATTATGTTAATATTAAATTAAATGTAAAAAGCACATCATATTATAACATAATATGACTATACAAAAATAATGAAAAACTACATATTACGAGTATATATAAAAAGTATAATACAACTGTAAAATAAGAGAATAAAAAAAAAATGAAGAAATATTAAAATTTCAGATATTTGCGTTAACAAACTAAAAGATCTAAACGAAGTAATGGATGAAATTGAAAAAAAAAAACAAAAATGCGGACAGATATTTCTATTTTGTATAGGAAAATGTAGGATGAATGTCTGAAATGTAGGAACCAAAATGACCAAATAGGTGTTTGAAACATTAGTATGTCTTTAGAAATGTAGTAAATTTAACATAAAATTTGGCAGTTAACATTTAGTAGAAATTGCACTTTTTAATAAGAATATTACCCATAAATCATGAGACCAAAACCCCAAAATACAAGTAAGAGAATCCTATATTTTGGAAAATATCTCCAAGCAAAAAAACGTGTCTGCTACAAAACAGTAGCTCTAGCTCTATCACAAATAGGGTATTTATTGAAAAAAAACGAACTGATTCCGTTTGTTCACATAGTTTAAAACAAAAAATTTATAGTAATAGCTGCACTTTGTATAAAAAGAACAAGTTTTCAAAAGCCAAAAAGGTGTTCATTGCAAAAAAAAAAATCTAATGTATTCAGCACAAAACTGACCGCAATGTGTATTGTTTAGTTAAGTTAAAGTGTTACAGAATATTTTAAAAATGCCTGTTCTTTCCAATTTTTAGGGCATTACTAAGCTTATATTTAGCATACCTACAAAAATATAAATTTGAATCTTAGTTGAGTTTCGGTTTCGTGCTACTCGAATTGGCTGAAATGCTCGCCAGTTAGTTTCGGTAAGAACCAGAACCCCAACATCGAATATCAAGAAATTCTATCAATTCGTTCCATAGATATGGTAAAAAATGTAAAATCGACCCTCAGATCAGCTTTCGAGCCCTTATGTTTCAAAAAATTTATATGTCCATTGTTTCAATATGAAAAATTTAAATATTAAATTTCAATAAAATCGGTTGATTATTTTCTTCATAATGATTTTCTTCAAATCGGTCATCCGAACTTGAGATACACGCGTGCACACGCAGACCGACAGACCGGCTGACAGACAGACCGACGGATCGACAGACCGACAGGTTGCTAAAAGAGTGTATTCCCATCGAAAACAAAAATTTCAAAAAATTTGTATTAATAATATTAAGTAGCATGCTATACAACACTAGTAATAAAAATAACAGTTTTTTAGTGTTGTTTTAATGCCATACAAAGCTATCACACCACCAAGCAGTGTTGCCGAATCGTGGGAAATTTCCCATTTGAAGGGAATACTAAAGGGAAAAAGAAAAAAGGCCAAAAATCGTGCGAAATTCCATTGAAAACTTTTCATTAACATATTATTTTTTTTTATTTTATTTTCTTATTTTTGAGCAAATGCATTTTACACTTGTAGCAAATACATTTTATAAAAAGCCCTATTAGTCTCTAAACTGATATGGTATTACTTATATTACAATTTGAAAGTACATTTTTAAGCTTTGATTATTAAGTTATGCTTTTGAAAAATTCATTAAATACGAATTTTATCAAGGTACATAGAAGAATGGTTATAAATAAAAAATTTTTCAAAGAGAAATTATAGGGGAAAAAATAGGGTTTGAAAAGGGAAAAAATGGAAATGTTTGAACAGGGTAAATAGAGAAAAAAAGAGTTTGCAATCGGCAAGAGGTACAACAACAATATTCTTAACGTTTTATGCTTTCGAAATATTCCGATTTAAATATTTTTTTATTTTTTTTTGTGAAATTTATGAGTAATCCTCTTAACTCTTATTTTACTTAGTATGGTTTTAAAAGCGATCTAAAATCTAAATTATGATAATTTTTTTTTCTTTTTAAATTCAATTTCTTATTTAAAAATTTTACTCCTTCGTTCAGTACCCCTATCCTTTCATTTGGAACACAAGAAAAGTTGACTGGGTCAAAAATTGCAGTTTTTTTTCTCAAACGGAATTTACCAACTGATTTTTTTAAATTTAAATTTTCTCCTTTAATTGAAACTTCATATAAATTTGGAATTTATTTGTGATTTACTCTCTGAGCTTGGTGGCCTGATGATATGGCATTACATTAGTTGACTTCAAAACCAATATAAAAAGTGTATTTAGAATATTGTATGTATTTTGTATATTGTAAAACATAAGCAAGTGTTTTTTTTTATAAAAGAAAAAGTTAGAAATTTTCGAATCATGAATAAAAATTCTATTGCACAAAATTTGAAATAGCTTCAAAAACTCTAGTGAAAGGCGAAAAATAATATTACTCCAAATGACAATTTGGTAGTTGACGTCTTTTTTTTTTCAGAGCAATTATATTGAATTTATTGCATATGTATACATATACGAGTAATAGTTTTCTTTTCTAACCCTTTTTTGTATATGTACATATACATATTTTATAATCATACTCAAAACACAATCATTTTTTTAATAAAATTAAAAAAGTTTGTTTAGTTTTTAATATCTGCTTCATTGACTTTCCTAAGAAGAACAATATTTCATATTGAACTGACAATTTCAATTTGACAATTTTCCGGCTCTGGAAAAAGACTTCATTTCAAATTTTTTCCTTAATTTTTTTCAATAGACTTTTTTGTCTATTAGAAATGGTTGGCTATAATAACAATATTTTTCAAATAAAATGTGCAAAATGTCCCAAAGGATTCCAAGAAATCTATTTTTGCTTAATTGAAAGTATTCAATTTAAAAAATCAATTTATTTGTATATGAAATCAATGTTAATACGAAATCATAGCACACTAAAAGAAAATTTAAGGATTTCAAGTTTTTATAGTCACAAAAACTGATTGAAGATATTTGGTGCCAAAATATATTCTGCTTTTGCAATGTGAGAGTGCAACCATATGCACTACGTTGTCAATCTTATGTAAGTAAATTTTATTGAAAAATATGAATTGTATAACTATATCTGATGAAAAGAGTATTCAATAGACCAACATATTCTTAATATTTTAAATTTTATTTATTTATTATAGATATAATATGATATTTTATTTATTTATTACAAATGGAACACCACTTTTCATAATAAAGAGTATGACCGGTTGTTGAATTATTTTAACCAACCAGTAGTCGTAACAGTACTTCTTCTAGTACAAAAATTATCCAATTTGACAGTTTGACATAATTTTGACAACTATTCAAAACATCAATCAATTTAATTAGTTCGAATACCAGACACTTGAGTGCGTTGTAATATTAAAGTGTTGGAGGAATAAGAGAAAAATTTTTATCTAATATTTTTTTAACAAAATAAAAAAGCCAAAAATATTAATTATTTTAGTGGGGAGTAATAATTTAAAAACATAGTTTTTTTTGTATTAATTTCGCTACAAGTGAAAAAATTAGTTATAATATAATTTCATATTAATTACGAACCAAAACAGAAAATTAGCAAAAAAAAATGTCTGCGATGAGTCCAGAATAGTAAGTAAAAAGAGAGCTTAGTATCATTTATTTTCTAAAATTGACAAACTTGACGATTTTTATGAAAATTTTTATCAAAATTCATGTAATTTTTTAAATATGTAAAATAATTATAAACTTAGTATTCCAACATCGCTCATAAAGTGAATTATTTAATTGCTACGTCATTAAAGTTCGAAAGTCTCATTTTTTGCTTTTGGAAAGAAAAATGAAATTTTAACAGCGCAATTAAAAGCCTTGTTGCGCCTGCATTAATATTTTATTCAGCCTTAATTTTAAACAGTGAAACGAAAATTTAGTTGAAAAAATATAAATTAATCTGAAACTAATTTTGTACATTAATGTATGTGTATGAAGAAGTAATTGAGGTGGCGATAAATTTTTTTAAGGTGATGACGGTGATGACTCATAAACAGTGGACTTCATTCAACTATTAAATACACTTTTGTTAACAGTGCTAGAAATAATTGCAAGAAAACTAGTAATTTTTATTTAAGTAGAGTTCTTTTGTAGATTGCTCTTAAAATAAAAAATATTTATTCTTAAATATACAAGCAAATCTATATACATATGTATATTACATACATAATACATATAATATATATATATATATTAATGTACGTATGTATGTATAAGATCTATGGAAATTTAAAACAAATTTTAATAAAGAAACAAGAAAAAATTGTTCTTTTTTCATAGAACAAAGGAATGCTATTTTGAGTTTAGACCTAATTGGTTCTTATTGTAAAAATTTATAAAACGCAACCTTCCCATTAAAATTGTAAAAATCAAAACTCTCAAACGATTATTTAATTAGAGGCAGTAAAACGAAATGATTGACAAACTAAATGGGCGTTGATCTCAAAATCACTTAAACTACGTATACTAAGATATCTACAAAAAAAATTAGATAACTTGTTGAATTTATAACGTATAGTTGAAATTATAACAATTAGTAACATTGTGATGAGATTTATTTTTCTCGAAAATGTAGTTATAATATTCAAAGTTAAAGATCTAAATCTATACAACCTACCCCAAATTATCTTATCATTCTAAAGGTTGCCAATAGATTAATATTTATTAAGGGACTTTAAAGAAAAAGCCTCAAAATTTTAATAACAAAATAATATTTAATAAATACATATAATATTTGAAGATTTTGACTGATATATAACACAATAACAATATAATATTTTGTTTTGTTAATATAAAATTCATTCATGCACGTGTGTAATAATGCACTAAATTTTTATTTACTAAATTAAAATTTCGCCGTATTGATATGTTATTTATTAAATTTCATTATGTTTTTTTTATAGTGACTATTTATTTAAATTACTGTTGATTGGCGATTCAGGTGTTGGAAAATCGTGTCTTCTACTACGATTTGCTGTAAATATAAAAATCATTCGAATAAAAACTACACTGAAATAAATTATTAAATTATTTTCAGGATGACACATACACAGAAAGTTACATCAGTACAATTGGTGTAGACTTTGTGAGTTTGCTTTTTGTATATATTTTTTAATTTTATGTCCGAAATTCACTTATGTATATTTATTTTTAGAAAATTAGAACAATTGAATTGGATGGGAAAACTATTAAACTTCAAATTGTAAGTTATAATTATCTTTCATGAAATGAATAATAAAAAATTTATAATTATTTTCTTTAAAATGTATTATAGTGGGATACAGCTGGACAAGAGCGTTTCAGGTACTATAATGCATTTAAAATTTATAAATGTTCCAAAAAATGAAAGAATTTTGTTGATTTAGAACCATAACATCATCATATTATCGGGGTGCACATGGCATAATTGTTGTTTATGATTGCACGGATCAAGAATCATTCAACAACGTTAAACAATGGCTTGAAGAAATTGAAAGATATGCTTGCGAAAACGTTAATAAATTACTTGTAGGAAATAAATGTGATCTAACAACAAAAAAGGTCGTTGAGCACTCAACAGCTATGGTAAATCTTGCAATAACAAACATTTATTTCAATAAAGTAATGAAATTTTTTAATTTTCTATTTAAGGAATATGCAAATCAACTTGGAATACCATTTCTTGAAACTTCAGCTAAAAATGCAACAAATGTTGAGCAAGCTTTTATGACAATGGCGGCTGAAATCAAAAATCGAGTTGGACCGCCATCAAGTGCCACCGATACAACAAGTAAAGTGAAAATTGAAGGGCGCCCAGTTGAAAATACCAAATCCGGTTGTTGCTGAATTAATTAATAAAAACGAGATAATACAAAAATTAAACGTACATTAAAAATATAATTACAATTTTAACATCAGCATTTATTTATTTTTTTTTCTTTTTTCAATGTCAATATTTACATATATTGAATTGTATCAGAAAGTTAAAAAAAATAATATTAAAAGTTTATTTAAATGCTAAAACTTTAAAAAAGGAATCCAACAGTTGTGCTACATTTTCACAATTGAATAAAACCAATATATTATAATTATAATAAAACGTTAAATAAAGTAAGAAAAGCAAAAAAAAACCGATTAGAAACAAAAATTTAATTTTTATTTTTATAGTTTTAGTTACATAATTTTTTATGAAAAAAGTATGTATTTCTCAATTGAAAATTTAATAAAACTATAAAATTAATCACACATCAAAAATTTTACCTTCACTTAAGAATAAAGTATGTAAAAAAATAAGAAGTTCAAATATGCCACACAATGTATAACTTAAGAAAAAATAACAAAATGTTAAAAGAAATTTTAAAGTAAAATAGCAAAAGATTTTATGTGCATGCATATAGAAAAAGTTTCAAAATTTTTAAATGCAGCTTTCTTTTATATGTATTATTTGTGTATTTGAAATATATAATTTTTCATTTTTAAGATACATATTTAAATGTAGGTATATCTCGAATATATTGTACAACTTACAAACAGTAGTGAAGTCAAATTCGTTTCAATCTATTTTTTCTTTAAAGAAACATAAGGACGCATTGTTTCAAAAGCTTCAGCTGTTTATCAAGTATTAAAAGTGAAAGTATAATTTATAATTTAGAATAATTTTTTCTTTATATACTATTAATGGGATAAAAATATAAATGAAACAGAATAAATCGTGGTTATAGGAAACATTCTTATTTTCATACTATTATTTTTTTTTGTAACAAAGTAGATTGCTTACCTGTATTAATTTATAACATAAAAAGAATAGTAAATAAATTTTTAAAGATAAATGTAATAGTAATTATTTCAAAAATTAGTTAAAAATAATAGTAATTTTAATATTACGGTTTAGTTATTTATGTACAATATCCCTTCCTGGTATATTGTACTGTAATGGTATTTCCAAACCTAATAATATTGGCAAACCAGAAAAAGTTATTAAAAAATCTTATTGTGATTTTTTCCAAACGAAGTCAAATATTTTTTGTTTTTCATTTCAAAATATTTAAAATTAAAGAAAACTCAAAGCTATAAAAATTACTTTATAATGAAAAAATGTCTAAAATCCAAAGATTTAGAACTTTAAGTCTGGACTTTTCCTAAAATAACAAAAATTTGTCTCCATAAAAAATGTACAAAGTCTGTCCTAGACAAAACTCTCCTGTAAATTTTTTACATGTAATGTGTATTTAGAATGGGAGTTAAAATTACAAATGTATGATGTATATGTGGACTCGCGGAATATAGATATTTTTAATGCTATCGCAAGTGCAATGAATCATTGAAAAAGAAAATTGATATTAATTTTCATATTGTTAGCAGTATGAAGCGTGTCTGAAAAAGATACCAATAATCCCAAGGTTCGTAAACCCTAATCAAAATGTATGTAAAAATTTAACTTGTAAAAATTATCTTATACCTACTTCAAAAAAGTTATGCAATAGGATTTATGCATTTACGTTGCCGATAGGGTCTTAACCAGATATATACTTAGCCCTTATATCTTTTAAAGATTTAGCAAGAGTGTCGAAAACTTAGCTCATTCAAAACAGTTTAGACCAAAAAAAAAACAGATTTGAATAATCGACTTTAAAAAACTAGAACTAGCACACTTGTTCACTCAAGAAAAATTGAGTACTTTATTCCGAACACTTCACAGTAACACGCTCAAAGACAAAACATCATTTTTTAATACAATAATAGGTATGTGTAAACATTTATGTCAAAATTTTATAACAAAACTACGATAGTCTAAGAATTCAAGGTATATTTAAAAGTATCTTTTATTAAATTTTTCCGCAATTAACAAATAAGAAAAGCTAAAACTATAAAATCAAACTAAAAAAAAATAAAATTGCTAATTTTTTGATGCTTTACTTCTTGCTTTTATCTTTAATAGTATATTTGTCATATGTTTTTGTTGGATCATAAGGTTCCCAACGGCTAGCTGGGAATATATGTTTATTTCTTTCATACCAAGATCTAAGCAAAACTTTTCCAGCATGAGATTCCTCCTTTTCTACTGTAGCGTCGCTTATCATTCGAACGTCGTCATGCACATCAAATTGAAATAACGGTCCACTTTTACCCCTAGCTTTTGTTACGATAAAATCATAAAAGGTATAATGTTGTGGTAATATCAAATCTTCTTTAACGTACATTAATTGATCTGCCATAACTGTTTTCAATTCGCTAAATTCTTTTCTTAACATTTCTAAACATTTTTGCAAGAATTGATAAATTGAATTTCCTTTTTTCATGGTAACAGATCGCCTGTGACCAGACCCATCCCAGTAACTAAATGTAATGTTTATATCTTGATCTTTCAGAGCAGCTTGCTGAGCTACCCATTCTTGTCGTAATTCTTCTCTAACTCGATTTTCTCTTTCTTCTCTTTCGCGGTCTGGCAAAAATGATGTATCAACATCTGGATTTTTACGAATTTTTTTTAATGGTTTCTCATCTTTTATTTCTGTCCATTTTTTTTTTGTTATTTCTCTAATCTTTTCTTCACTTTCATATTGGTCATCTTCATCTAAGCTAAAGGATAGAGCTTGAATTTGCTTTTTCTGTTTGTTCTTTTCAGCTTGCTTTGCTTCAAGTGCTCTTAATTTCTCTCTGTCTTTTTCTTCTTTTTTTTGTGCCAATTTCTTTTCACGTTCTCTTACTATGTCCTCTTGCTTGGCTTTCATTTCGTCCAATGTAACCAACCCAATTGTGGAAGATTTAAGCTGTTGTTCAACTGCATCATAATGGCTAGCGAATTTGTTCTCTATATTTGCAATCCTTAAATCTTCTTCAATCTTTTTTTTGCGTAATTCAATTTCTTGTTGAGCAATTTCTCGCTTCTTCATCAATTGCATGGCTCTGCCAGCTTCACTGGCAGCGCCTTTATAATGAGCCATCTTTTCCTTTTATAAATTTACAAATATAATTATTTATCAATTTAAAAAAGTATACAAATATATGTATTTTATTGAATTGATTTTTATCTTATGTATGTATGTTGAAATTAATTTTGGAATGAATTTCTTGTTTGAAAATGAAATTTCTCAAAATGTCACTACGTTAAATATTGAGCTTGTTGATACCAGTTGATATACAGTGAAAATAAGCACATCCATATTGCTATTATTAGTCAGTTGTTTATTTGAAGGAAGGTTCCATGCCTTATAATCTAAGAACATTGACAGTCTAATTAATAATCATTAATACAAAAAATATCATCTTTAATGAATGTGACATCATTCCGAAGAAAGCATGAAATGATATAAGCAATTCTGATATAAGAATTCGCAAAAAAAACATAATTGTGAGATTTTTATTGTAATTATATTTTGTGTAACATATATGAAACATATTTCAACAATTGATGCGACAGTCGTCATGTAAACGTAGTTAATAATAGAAATTACTCTATTCTCACCAAATTGACTGTCAGATCTTTTAAAAGTAAAGTGCTGTTGCCATATTATATTCAAAATCTAAGACTAAATCTGCGATAAAATTTGATGAAAAGAAAATGCGTTACTAAATGTAAAAACATAAACAAAGCGGTGAACGACAACGGCGAAAGATTTTTGAAGAAAGAAGTTGGTAACCCAGAACAACAGTGGATCGGCGAAATCAACTGTACAATATTTTGAATATAATGTCGCGCATACGAGAAAATAGAAAATGTCAAACAACACCGCCAGCGGCAAAATAGTATCGAAAAGTTATTTTACCGCCGGTCCCAGATCGTTTAACTCCATAGCAAGGTTCGTCCAAATTTCCTTCAATATACTTTTATTGAGTCTGAACTTAACTCCACCACGAGCTTCCTCCGCATTGCTTTCCATTAGTTCTACTAATATTCAAACTAAAATTTATGAAATAGTACATTATGTACATATGTATATACAAATGCTACTTTTGTTTTGCCATAAAAAATCAAATATTTTTATTACATGCAATAGATGATACTTAGATAATTTTTTTTTTAATTACACTTAGCTCGTCATAGATATTTAAAAATTAAAAGTTGTTTTACTACTGATGTTTCAGCTTCTTTTCGCAATAAGTTGTATGCATCATAAAGTCTATAAACTGAAAACCTCAACAAAATTTTGAAAATTATTTCTAGTGACATATAATTTTTATTCACCTAGTTTTGACATTTCTCTCGAAACAATTTCATAATACCATTTAGGTTATTCGAGATCAATGGCCTTATTAATACCCATATGACCCCATAATATCCCGTTTACAACGCTTAAAAATTAACGTCAGAAATATATGTATGTATCTATGTATGTACATATTGTCTGAGCACAGTTCTGATTCGACTTAAATATATACTTATGTATGTATGTATGTTTAATGTTTGTCCGTCCGCCGGTCTGTCTGTGCATCCGTCCGCTTATCTGTGCCAGTAATAACTGAAGAACGAATTCCAATATAGCTCATATATATTTAATAAAAAATAAGAATTCAACAAGGAGTACATTTCCATAAAATACAGTGTACATTTTCGTCATATTGGTGATGCCAAATTTTGTTAGGAAATAGTTAATGTAATAAAAAAATAATAATCCTTAATCGTTAATTTTCTTAAGTAAATGCACTGGCTTTGTGCTAAATTTAACGTTGGAAGTAAACACGCTTCAACATTATTAACTTTTCTAAAATTTCGTCGCTTACTTCATTTTTATATTTCTGTAATAATTTTCTTTTTAAAATTATACATTGCTCATTATAAATAAAATGAGATTCATAAAGAATACTCAAAAATTCCACAAAAAATTTTGTATTTATTTCTGATTCAAAATTTCGTAATTTGTTTAGAATTTTAGATATAAAAATATTGTCTCAATAAAAGAAAATTCAACTTTGATGCTTTATTCAACTTTGAACTATATACAATATACATACATACATACATATGTACATATTATTAGCAAATTAAAAGATTTTTTTAATTTAACATTCTTTTTGGGTAAGTAAAGTCTATTTGTGGCCTGTTGTATCCTTAACGAGTATTTTGCAAACTCATTATTCTTGCATATAAGCTACAATATCATTTCTTTTGCTCATCGGTTATGAGCGTTCTTTGTTTTAGGGTGTTTTTAAAAATGCAGTTCTTAATCTTAGAACTGTAAAGCTTTAAAAGCTCTTCATTTAATTTATATATGAAGCTTCAAAAGCTTTGCAGTTCTTAGCTTAAGAACTGCATTTTCAAAAACACCCATAGTGGGTAGTGTGGAATGAGTCCGAGACTTATTTTTAGAATGTATACTACGGATTTTTTTTAAATTTCAAGTCAGAATAAATTCCGCCAAAAGAATCTAGAATTTTTTCTTTACTTCATTTTTCAACTACCCTGGACTTGGGAATTTCAAATTTAGGGTTTTCAATTACCTAATATGCTAATATCAAATAGAATATGTATTACATTGCACGTTATCGCATAAGAAAAAAATATTACCACTTGCAATTTAAGTACTTATGTAGCTTTCTGAAAATTTTATTATTCGTATTTAGTATTCTTTTTCATATGGTATATACTAATTTTCCTTATTCTTGTGTGAAACAAAAATTAAATAATTTTTAAAATTAAACTACGTACATATGTATGTATGTATATATAGTTATAAGTATTCTTATATTCAAGCAATTTTAAACAATAAGTATTGTTTTTTGTGTTACAAAAATTTGTGTAGAGATTAATTGAAGATATTAATTCTATTAATTTAAAATCTAATAATATATTATAATATAATAATATTTTAAACTACTTCCGACAAGAAACCTTCTGTGTCTTCAGTCACAATAGCATCAATATTATAAAAGGCAGCATGTAATGAAATCACAAAACATGAAGCGCCTAAAATATTAAATATGAGAAAATTTATTTAACTTTTAATAAAATGTTTTACCTATCACCCAAAATATAATTGCACCTGCCCCAGCTATGTATAAAACTGGTGCTGCGGCTATATTAACAATAATTCCCTGCTGATATGAATTAATTTGTCGGCCAAACACTTGAACGGTTGTATCAGCTTTTTTTATTCGATAAGTAATATAGAAAGCCCCGCATAAAACAATTAAAATTAACGGTGATGTAATACTAAAATAGTCAATATAAAAATTTTAAAACAAATCAAATACATATAGCTTACTTACAGGCAATATAGCATCAAAACGATGAAAACACATAAGTAATTGCTTTGAAAATATGCCAAATTTCTTATTAGTCTACCAGTAAGCCTTTGGAAACTTGCTATAGTTTTAAAATTTTGTGTGTTTAAAAATTCAGACCATGGACGCAATTGAACCCGAATCTGTTTTAATATTTCCAGTGGTGCTAAAGTAGACGACAAATTTGACATACTAATTTTAAAATTAATTTAATTTCTGTTTAGTAGTAGGATGAAAATTATACTTTGTAAAAGAAAATCCTCCTTTTGAGTTAGCTGGTGCCGGAGCTTCCATATCACCACTTACATCAACTTTAACATCCATTGTTTTTTTTTTTGAGATTACACTCTAGCAATTTTCTTTATTGATATATGTTGAAACGTGTTTCATGAAGTCAAAACAAATATAATTATTTATTTAAAATTTCCACGTCGAGAAATGACGTCTTATTCTAAAATCAAAATACAAACAATTTTAAACTAATCAAATTTTTTGTAACCTCATACATACATACATATATGTATATAAGATGTGTGTTAAGTATAATATATGTATTATATTCTGTTATAATTATGTACAATAGCTTTCGCTGTGAAAAAATTAAGATTTATTTATTATTTAAATTAGAAAAAAAGAAGAGTTCGTTTACTCTTAATAATTACGTTTACTTTTTTTTCTAAATTTACTGTTTAGATTAGTAACTTGTTGGTCTTATTTGACATTGACATCTATCTAAAATCTTGTATCATATACTGGGTTTATATGCAGCTTGAAGCCGACTTCAAACGGATTTCGAGTTCATTTTGGTTTATCAGATATAAGAAAATGCTTAAAAATTTTATGAAACTTTGCAAACTTTACAAAGTAGTATGCAAAGCGTCTGCTATTATAATTTTTGAGAAAAACGAGAGAAAACTATAACGTCAGCATTTTCTGAATGATTAAAGTTTTTTCAAGTGTTTTAAATTAAAATTTAATGTTTTAAAAATTTTTAAAATCATGAAGCTGCCAATATATATGTTTTTCTTGGTTATGTCTGAGGGTTTTATTTTTCAATAAACTCTTTTTCATTAACAATAAATTTCTTTTTTTTTCAAACTTTAACTGATTAAAAATAAAATAAATAAAGTGGATTCACAAATGGTTTTTATAAGTTTCACACTTTAAAAACCGAAAATCAACATTTTCTTTGTTTTGTATAACTAAAAAAATGTTTGGTTATGTCTGGTAAATATTTTGACATTCAACGTTTATTACCAAATTTATAAAGTTTCCGTCTTGTTTATTTTTTTTTAAATTAAAATGTTTTTCTTTTTGGGAAAACTTATGTCACGATTACATTTTTTTTAAAGAATCATTTATTTTTTGTTGTTTTTTTAGAAAAATTATGGTTTTTGCCTATTTTCATTTCGAGTTTTTTATACGAAAAGTTGACTAAAACCTAAACATAATATTTTTATACTAACATGAAATATGGAGTTTTCTGAACAACATATCAAAAATGCAAATTCAAATTTCAACTCAAAATTTTAACTATAATTTTGATTTAATGTATTTTCGAGTTTTTTCCGCATTTTTTTTTTGTACGGCCAGACAACATATCTGAGAGAATTGAGTAAAAAATGATAATACAGTGAATAAAAAAAAAATTTGGTGCCATATTTGTTAGTCTAGAATGCATAACTTAAAATAAAGTTAATAAAAATTTTATTAGATTTTAATTTAAATTTGCATTTATTTGATTTTAAGTTTTATAATTATGAAAGTGCTTTTAAAATTTTATAATCGTTGTAAAAGATGCGTCATTTTAAGTTGTCCCCTATATAAAAATAAACATAATAAAAAATTATAAAGAAACTTGTATAAGTTCGAAAGTTTCTGATTCGGTAGTTTAGGTAAATTAGCGAATTAGACTTACTAACAATTTGAAAATAATTTCTAATAAAACTATAATCATATACATACCTAAAAAAATTATATGGACTTTTTAATATACATTAGTGAGTAATAACCAAAATTATAAAAAAAAATTTTCACTTTTGTTAAAAAGGGAAAAGTTTTGGAGTCATTTTGTATCCGAAATTCAAAAAGTTAATGAAACAATGTCTCACATTGAAAAATGTTTTGCTAACACCATCGTCATCAACAAAAAGAGCATTGTAAGTAACACCCAAGACAGTGCAAAATATCAAAAAAAATATGTTCAATTGCACCTTATAATATTATAATATAAAAATATGTACATATATTTAATTCCAATTTATAAAATAAATTTATTCAAAGAGAAAAAAATTAATTAGTTTAAATTTTGTTTGTTTTTTTTTGCAGGTATTTTAAATAAAAATATGTTTTTAATTTTTACTTGAAAAAAAATTAAAAAAAAATTAAAATGTTTTTCTGCGAATTTTATGGATTAAATTTTGCGATCCAGATTCAGGAAGGCTGGATTTCCTTGTTGTAGGCCGATTTTGAGTAGCAACTCCCTACACAATTGTAATGTTGTGGTGTAAACGTAACATGCAGTACAGCTGACACTCAACCAGTAATGACATAAACGCAAGCGAATTATATACATATCGTATTAATTTATAAGTCCCATCCTATGAAATTTCATATGACTTTGACAAGTAAGTCACTTCGCGTAAAATAAATGAATAGAAATGAACACAATCAAAACAAAAACTTTCATAGCTAAATAATATACTTATTCTTACATTGAAAAATATTTGGATTTTAAAACCGCGTAGAAAATTATGGTAGACGACAAAATTAGCATTAATTTTGCGTGTCAAAGGTGCTTGCAGCCTATTGTTTTGGACGACAGTTTTGAAAATATTAGCATTCATGACCATGCAGAATTGGCTTGTAAGTAATTAGTCAGTATGAAAAAATCAAAAAGACTAATTGATATCTTATTCTAGTGCCAATTTTTTCAAATACTGCCCCAGAAATTGATACCCAAGATGAAAACAGCTACGACCATTTCATTCCCCCTTATATGACAGATTCAATAAATGGTAACAACGGTTTTATGGTCGTTTCTGATGGAAGGGAAAATCAAACATTAAGCTCAGCACTAAAAGTTAAAGCAGACCTTTTTGATTTCTTATCTTCAAATTCAGAAATTGACCATCCTTTATGTGATGAATGTGCTGACTCCCTTTTAGAATTAATGGATCGCCAATTAAAAATTGCTGAGTCTGAACTAGAGGATTATAAAATTTATTTGAAAAAACTTGAAAGTAGTGAGGAAAATTTAGACTTAGATGAATTACAAAAAGAACTTACAGATTTAGACGAAGAAGAAAAACGTTTATTAGATGAATTAAGTAAGTTGAGAACTAACGAGGAATCTATTAAAGCGTCTATAAAATTTCGTGAGGAAGAGAAATCCCAATTAGATGAGCAAGAAGCTACTTACTGGAGAGAATACACAAAACATAGGCGTGATTTAATGTGCACTGAAGATGACAAAAGGAGTTTAGAATGTCAAATAGTGCATGGTCAAAATCAGTTAGATAAATTAAAGAAAACGAATGTTTTTAATGTTACATTTCATATATGGCATCATGGCCACTTTGGCACTATTAATAATTTTAGACTGGGGAGATTGTCTTCAGCACCAGTGGATTGGAGTGAAATAAATGCTGCCTGGGGACAAACAGCTTTGCTTTTGTGCGCTTTGGCCAGAAAAGTTAACTTGACATTTAAAAGGTACAAAATTGTTCCATATGGCAACCATTCGTATGTTGAAGTTTTAGGAGAAGGTAAAGAGCTTCCTTTGTATGGAACTGGGGGTTTTAAATTTTTTTGGGACACTAAATTTGATGCTGCAATGGTAGCGTTTTTAGATTGCTTAAGCCAATTTAAGGAAGAAGTGGAAAAAGGGGATACTGGATTTTGTCTACCTTATAAAATGGATAAAGGAAAAATAGAGGATTCTTCCACTGGGAATTCATATTCAATAAAGTACATTATTAAAAATAATATTTCAATTTTTAAAAAATTAATAAAATTTTAGAATTCAATTTAACTCTGAAGAACAATGGACAAAGGCCCTTAAATTTATGCTAACCAATTTAAAGTGGGGGGTGGCATGGGTTTCCTCACAGTTTACCGAAGAAAAATTAGAAACACCTAAAGTGTAAAAACATACAAAATTAAAATCCCTTTGTAAGTTGTGATCATTTAATATATTAGGTTTAATGAAATGTAAGTATGTATTATGTATCTAGATGTACCTATGTAATATTTTAAAAAAAAATAATTCATAGGTACATACTTATATAAAATTTGCTTTTTATTTAAAAGAAATTATTGGAGTTTTTAAAATTTTTTGTAATATAGATTTTCTCATTTTTTATAACAGTAAAGTATAAACAATTGTTTATTATTGTAATAGTACAATTGTTATCGGCAAAAGATATACGGTAATATGTTATTGTATTAGATATTTTAATAGGACTAATTAAAATTTTAGAAGGACAAAGAAAATTATATGCATTATAAACTGCAACGAATTGAATAGGAAATCGGTCTTATACGAAAATTATTTTATAATAATTAATTCACAAAATTTTACAAGACGTAAATTTTTATTGAGTAAAAAGTGTAGCTTTAAAAAATTAGAATGGTAAAACATTTTAAACAAAGAAGTTTATCTTTAAAAACTTACATCATAATAAAATTTAATAAATATTTACACAAATTGGTAAACATATGTATGTATGTATACTATTTTGTTTCTAAAATAATCTGAATTTTCTTAAAAGCATCGTTCAAGCTATCAACAAAGGCTTTTCCATCTCTTTGACCTTCATATGATGTGACAACTGCTCCACATTCATCATTTTGAATTGAATATCTGGATAACAATAGAAATTTCATAAAATTGTAAACCTTTTTTTTCTAATGGCTATCTTACCCGATTCCTAGCCCGTCTTCAACAACTGGTCCAAAAGAGCCTGCAAGTAAAGCCGGCGACCCTAGAGTACTTGTTGATATAATATTGTAATTCATTATTTGATATGCAGAGTCTTGGTATAAGTTAGGTATTTTCATATCATGAAGTTCTGCTACATGCTTTAAACCGAATAAATGACGATCAAAACCTTGTCCCATTGCAGCTTCTTTAGTTAATTCATTATGTTTTTGGGAACATTTTTGTATCAGTAGTCGTAATTCATTATTACTAAGCCTTTCATTTGGTTTAGTTCCAACAATTGAGTCACAAAAGTTTTTAGTTTCAATTGTACATGGACGCATCGTTTCTGTACGTCCATGACGAAATGCTGCTGTACTACAAGATTCATATGTTCCAACATATTTTCCAAATAATTGACGATAAGCTAATTGAAATGCCAATTGTATAATAGCGTCTGGGCTAACATTATTTGCCTTACATAACTTTTTATTTATATGAGGATTTCTAGTAAATGCGATATTTAAAGATGATACCACATTATTTAAACTATTACGGGTTTCTTCTACTCCCTTTTTTATTTGATCATCTAAATCAAATTCTAAGGAACGAATGGATTTTTGTTCACTATCATTTAAATGTGCAGTTGTATTTGGATGAACAAACGGTGATTCGGTTATTTCTTTATAGATTTCATTGAAGTATCGTAAAATACAAACGCCATCACCCCATGAATGCTCAAAATTAACTGCACTGATACCATCTTTACCGACAAACACAGAAAAACTTTTGTCAAACCACCTATTAATACCATCTCCAACTAAATAATGCTTAACGAGTGGTATAGGATCGTTGTGATCGTATTTTGTATTTACGTCTAGACATAGACAAAATAGAGCTGAATCAATCAATTTCATTGAATTTTCGTTTTTCGAACTAATTTTAGTCAAATGATACCTTAACATAGCCCACTTATCTCTATTACCAGCGGTTAATATTCCAATTGGATAATCTGGTTGAAGTATATTTTTCGATCTCAAAACTTGTTTGATTCTTCCTAATATAACATTTGGTGACTCAATATTTCCTAATATGTAAGCAATACAAGTAAAATAAATTTCATATTGATACTTATTACATGTAAGTGATTTATAAAAATAAATTTAGTCAATCATAACACATTCAATTTTTAATAAACTTTAGTGGCTAAACACAATTACATAAAAATATTTAATTGTGTTTAATCAAAATGCTAAAAGGTTAACACTACTTAATATGAAACATTATTATTTCGTCAGGTTTATCATAAATCTGTTATTTTAAAGTGATGAAGCATTATTGAAAAGTTTCCAAGGTTTCACTATAAAACTTTAATTTTAAAAACTTTTTGTTCACTTTCATAAAAACATTTGTACAATTTTTAGTTTTTACAAAAACAAAATGAAACTTACCATCTTCATCAATTACGTCAACTGCATAAAAATTTCCATTTAACATCACTAAAATGTGGCGTGATGGTGTAGGACTTACAAAAATTCTATCTTTATCTAATTCTGGAATTCGAGTTGCATTAAACATCCCTTTGTATTGACTCATATCTAGTGGAAAAGCTTTAAATGCATATGCGACATATGTTGCTATTGAAACTGGCGCAATTTTAGTAATTTTTCTAAATAAATCCGTATCACTTTTTTTAGGGTTTAAGTGAAATATTTCTGGTTCTAAGTTTTCTTGCATCAAAGATTTATAAAAACGTAGAGTACTGACTACAATATTAGCTGCACGTATAAGTATATTATTGTATTCAGGTCTGGTATCTTGTTTCATTACTATTAAAGGATTATAATTTATTGGTAAAGAACGCCTATCTCTTAAATACATATCAAACCATGGTTCCGATATATAACTTGTGTGCTTGTTTTTTGAATCTCTGTCTTTTAAAATTTTCTGTAATTGCGGGCCAGATGAAATTTTAAACTTTTCAACAACATCTTGAGTTTTTCGGTAGCCTTCATCGATTAAAAGTGGTTTGACAGATTTTAAATATCTCTCACAAGTTTTTTCTATAGTTGGGATAGGTAATCTAGGCAATGATGGCTGAAAATACATCGATGGTAACATAGAATTTTGTAAAAATTGATATTCTGGGTTGCAATGCTCTCTTGTTCTTGTAGAATATTTATTATTTAAATACAAATGAGGTCGACTGCAAAATTTCGAGTGAAATTTGAAATGATGAAAGCATTTCATTTTACTTGTGTTAATTTATTTGAATTGAGTGCTAAAATTGCTAATTGTGTTTTTAATTATATTATGGAATATAAGCGGAAACAATTCCAAATATATTTTTTTTAAATTTTATCGTTTTATATTATCTAATCATTAAATTGTTAAGGTGTAAACCAATCAACCCTGCAAAAATTTAAAATGAAAATTATTATATTTGTTTGTTCAATTATTTATACTTTTATGTCATTTTATATTTACTTTTATGTAATAATAGCATAAGCGTATAAGGCTAATCTAAGTGGTGAAAACATCATTCGTTATATATACATGGTAATCATTCACGCTCAATTCATCTACTACATACACATGTAGTTTTTACATATTTAGTCAAATTTATATTCAGTTTAATTTTCTTTCTTTTCTCTTTTCAAATGTCCGCAAGACCAAGTTTGCTAACATAACTCTGTTAGAAAGTTTACACAACTAAATGTTCCTAATTAGCAATTGAAACAAACGGATTGAATAGATTCACTGATTTCTAATTAAAAAAAAAAACTATGTTTGGTTAAAATGGTTTTCTTTTAATTTCTTTTTTTTTTTTCAAAAATTCTGAAGAAAACCTTTAATCAGAAAACTTTGAGCATATTTTTCAAAGTAATTAGATAAGTAATTATTTTTTTTCAAGTTTAAATCATTAGTCTCCATCATCATTCACTCCAATTACAACCACATGCCATTTACTATGCTTGTTATTTTTAAAATCTTTAATACTTTTTTTCAAATAATCATTGCATCGCACCCACTTTATAAAAAATTGACAAACTTTACATGAAACAACAAAATTTATGTAAAAAAATAATTTTTAATGTTATGATCTCATTGAACAATTTTTATAATTATCGAGTCACTTAATATTAATTTTTAAGCTTATAATGTAAATGTGCCAATTATAAAGTATTTAAAAAATATATAGAGTGGCAAAGTATAAAATTGATTGGTTATTTAAATAAATTTTCTCATAAAATTAAAGATTTTCCATGATAATTTTTATGTATTTTGCCACTCATTTCATTAATGGTGTTATAGTCGATTTTTTATACCATGAAATCGAAAAGCAAAAATTGAATGTGTTTATCACAATATCATAACTTTAATGTAAAGTTGTGATTATAATTTTTGATTTCTTGTGCTGTTTAGTATGAATTTCAATCTTATAATTTGGTTTGCCTGAACTGGCAAAAGAGGGGATGAATTAAGCCACTTTTTTGTGCCAGGTTATATGATATAACAAGGAAAAAAATTTAGCACTAAAATACTGAATATAAAATATTTTTTAGCTAACAAGTATAATTAAATGAAATAATAAAGGTAAAGAAACTCAAATGGAAAAGTATTTTCAAAAGAAGAGGTTTTCTGCTATACTTTAATTTTAAATACAAACAAGAGTACAATCATAATTACTAAACCTAACCCATAGGCCAAGAATTTATATGTTTTTTGTTTTTGTTCCAATGACCTTTTATAGTTATTATTAAAATTAGCATTCTGCCATGCTAACACTGATTGAGCAGAGCCGCCACATGTTTTATTACTATCCATTGAATCGTTACTTCTTATATCTGTTGCGAGGCTAGAATTTGTAGTACGCTTTCGTATATCCCTTTTTTGGGAACTGGAATGGGGTTGTTTTTCATTGATCCTACGAGGTATTCTCTCTTGAAGTGTTGAGAATAAACGTTCATAATAGTTTTGTAAGCCATTGAATGCAGCATTTTCAATCATGGATTGAAATGGCCATACAGATCTTGTAAAAATTATTTTATAGGAAACAAAGATTGAACTTTCATATTCCGTTATTTTTTTAAAGCAATTATGTACATATACTACAAAACAATCACCCTTTATTGTTTCCATTTTAGTTTGTATTCTGACTGAATATAATTCATTTGGAACACTACATTCCAGTAATTCATAACTATTGGTTACCCTAGCTTTGTGTCCGAAATTTGGTGGGAGAGAATATGCGACTTTTTTTGTCTTTCTTATGGATTCTGAATTTCCGAACCAGTTTGAAGATACTATATCAACGTAACCTAAACTTTCATAGAAGTTTAACATAAATTCTGAATTCTCCAAAATCAAGTCATACAAATTGTCAACATTCATTGAAATTACATTGTCCCATAACACTGCTTCATCATGAAATGATACACATTCAACAGCAGAATAAAAATCCTCAGATGATGATGAGCACGAATCTGACATGATTATGTGATATTGAAGTTTAAACCAACTGTGTATAAAAATAATATCTCGTTAATAAATCAGTACATCCGATATTATTACAAGTTTTATTTAGAATATTTAATTTTTCTTTTATTTTTTAAATATTTTTTTGAGCAAGCTTAAAAAAAGAAAAAAATATAATAAGTTGCAACATAGTTACATTTATGATTGTACGTTTCGTTTTAGATCAATATTATTAAGCGCAGATTTTCGAATGAATGACTTGCTGCAAGAAAATTTATGTTTTTGTTATTGATTAATTATAGTATTATACAATATACTTTATAACCGTTGATCATCAAATTGATTGTACAATATACTTCACAACCGCTTTTACTCGTCATCAAATTGTTTGCCAGTCAAACAATTGACTTTCAAAACATCTAAGTTTACTAATAAATTTTAAAATAAAGAATCTTGTGATTCTTTTCTTGATCATTATAGACATGCATAAATTGCAAAAATATAAAACAATTTTCAAAATTTAAAACAATCCTTATTCAAGGAAACCAAGGTACAAAGGAAATACGTAGGTATTAGTGTAATTATGTTTTAAATATCTTTTCTTCAAAAATTACAAGCAACTCACATTATCACTATTATTTCAAAGTAAACCCTTATAATGAAATACAAAATTGAAATAAAAATAAAGCGTTTTAATTTGCGTTGTTTCATTCTTACGGTTAATAAAGGGCTTAATTAAAGGTTCAGGACCTAGTGTCTCTATTATTATTTAATTTTTATTTTAAAAATATAAAGGTGACACTAAAAAATTACACATTTATATACTCACTAAAACGAAAAATATCAAGAGCAAATCAATTTATTGGATAAAGTTACTATTGAAATATTTTTTATTTTATCTTATAGGTTAACATTGTACTTTGATATTGGTTTCATAATATGCACATAGTTTTGATTAAAATATTGAATAATTCTCAAAATAAAAACATTGTATGAATTTAGAATGTGGTTCTTTATTTTAAAACATAAATTTCAATTTTTAATCATAAAATATTTTTGCATGCTTTCATCAATTTGCTTTGAAAGGGTATTAGCTTTTTCTAATAAATTTTCAAAATCGTTATAATGAGAATTTAAGGATAAACAAAAATTTTCCGTTTCTTGTAACGTATGTAATTTTTCATCTATAATTTGAAAATGATTTGCCTCATGGTGAAAATCATAATTGGTCTCAACAAAAACATATTTTTGTCGCAATCTTTGAATATGTGAGCTTAAATCCTCACTAAGCTTAATAATCCCATCGAATTTCAATTTACTGTTCATTTTAATATAGTCAACGAATATTCAAATCAATCTAATTTATTTTTGATACCCAATTTTTTATGATATAATTATGCATATAATTTACAAATTTAAAAGATTTGATTTAATAACAAATCTCATCTGGCAAAACAAATATTTTAACAGTTATTGTATATAACTAAGCTAAAATTTGTAGTCTGCAGTTAAGTAATACTGAAATATCCTTATTCTTTGTACTTTATTCTGTTATGATATAAAGCGTTTACTTTATTTCATTGTTTGATTTACTATATGTATTAAATCGTAGCAAAATGTATACTACTTACAAAAAATAGAGGTCTTTGATTGAGGTAGAGCAGTTGATATTCTGAAAAATTAAGAAAGAAAAAAAGTATTAGTTGTTTATTTTATTATAATTCTTAAATTTGGTTATTCTTTAATATATAGTCTTTAAATATCATATACTGTTGTGAAGTTGTGAGCTTTCTTAACAGAAAACTAAAGATGGAAAAAGTATTTTATTTAATTTACATATAAAATATGAAACTCAAATAAAGTTTTCTTATTAATTTTTATTGTATATTTATTTCTTTCTTTTGTCTTACTTATAATTATTAATCCATAGAATTATTGTAGTAAATGGAATACTAAAATACATACATATATTTGCATTTAATACACTTATTGAAATGCGATAACTTCATTTATATTATTATTTTTTCTATTATCTTAAAAAAAATACTCTTAATTTTTGTTCTATTAATGTTAAATTTCAGAATTTTAACTATTCATAATTTTCACAAATTTTTTTTTGCTATTTATTAAAACTCTGATCATGCATAATGAATTGCAACAATGTTACAGAACATAATAATTTTTTATCCTAGTTTATTGAATTAAAACAATTTCAAACGACTTTCACAAATATTACTTTTAATAATAATATTTCTGGAGGTTGTTTATTTATTATTGACTTTATATAAAAAGTAAAGAAACATATTGAAGAAGAATATTGGAAAGAAAAGTTGCACAATTCTTCAAGTTTTGAGCATGCTTCGGAACAATTAATAGTGTGCAATTAATTAGTATTTAACTAATTAAAAATATTCAATAAATTAATTTTATCACGATTTGAAAATTATATAATTGCTTCGACAGTAAACATGCGGTTAAACTTAACCGTACTTTATGGTGTATAGTTTCTTCTAGATTATCCAGAGATTTTACATCAAAAATACATACTCGTATTTGTTGCGCAAAGGTTTGTTATCAAAGGTTTTTTTACAAAAATTAATTGCAAAATTAAAAAAGCAAATAGCTTATTAATAACCGAAATCGAATCGTGAAAGTACGAATTGAAATCACATGTAACATGATAAAATGTAAAATTATAGATAATTTTCCTCCCCATGATTTGTTACTTCCTTTAACTTTAGTTGCGAAACTGAAGTGCAATAAAAAACGTTTATTTATATGGATTTCGAAAGGCACACCCTTCTTTTTTTTTTTTTGTAAATGGGTTGTTATACTTAATCTCTGGAAAAAGCTCCAATCTCGATCAAAATTGAAAAAATTGATCTGTGTGTATAAAGTAATTTTATAAGAATACGAAATCGCATCGAAATTTGAGTTTGATAAACAAAACAGAATTGACCGTTCTAAAAAAATTTTATGTATGCGAATACTAAAGTACAGTGTAACTTATAGTAAATTATACATATATGTATACAAATATTGATTACAACTATTTCAAAATTAAACTTTAATTATACATTTTTCATAGAAAATACAAACAAAAGTTCTTACATAGTTTTTCATTTTTGTTATCCCTTTTGTTCAAAAATATAAATTAAAAAAAAAATTTCTTTTAAAATTTGATAAAACATTTAATTATGTTTAAAATTTTATTTTCGGTAATTTATGTTTCTATTAAACTAATTATTATCTCATGCAACACGTTTTCTAAAATTTATTATAGTAAGTAACTCAAATAGCACTTATCTTTCCAATGTTTTCAATAACTTTGAATTATTTAAGTTATTTGTTGTTGCTTTTCTATATATTTATGTTTAGTTTACAATTCCTCTCCCAAATTTCTGATTTCTGTGTTATCAATACCAATATTTTCATTTTTTATTAAAGTTTGACAAACATTATTTACTTTGTTTAGTAACTCAATTGCTGTTTCTAATATTTTATGCCACTTCTCCATTTCAGTCTCGTGTAAAATTTCCTGTTGTCTTAATAGCTTAATCCAATCATCATGATTGTTTGGTAAATTTTTAAAGTTGGATAAATTAGGAATATTTATGTTATTTTTCTCATTATTATTTAAATTATTAATATTAGGAAATTTAATATCAGTTTTTTCCAACTTATACAGCCTCATTAATAATATTATATTAAAAATAAATAACAAAATTAATAATATCAAAACAAATATTGATATACGTTTATATGGGTTTGACAAGCGACCACCACTAACCACATTTAGTACTTTAGTTGAAACTAATTCTGAATTAATTGAGTTTGGTGTTATATCGTCATTTAACTTTGTTGTTATCGTCGAACCTCTTTTAGGTCGCCTACGACTTTTCGCTTTTGCCGGCGGTATGCAATATTCATTTTGTAATGCTCGTCCTAATGCACTATAAAAATCCTCTAAGCCAGCCCACGTGTTTTTTTCAATAAATCCTTTAACCGGACCCCATATTTTCTTATTATATTGTATCTGAGCATGAACCGACAACATTGTATGATCGTCTACTGTTTTAACAAGACAATAGTGTAAGTGGACTTCAAAACTGTCAGCATATGGAATACCAGCATTTGTACTTTGGATATCAATTGAATATAACTCCCCCGGTTTACTGCATTCTCGCATCTTTTGAAATTCGGTAACATTCGAACTTTTCGGTCCAATGCCAGTTAAAGCTACAGTTAAATTTACGGTTCGTGTTTTTATACCATCATCGCCTTCCGCCCAGTTGCCATGGACGATATCAGATGATTTTCTAAGTGTATGAAAGTCTTGAAGAAACTTAGATTTAGAAAATAACATATCAAATAAAGCATCTACTTTTATTGGGAGTATAGCATGAATTAATTGACGTCCTTCGTGCAGCGATGTACATTCCGTTGTACTAACAAATGGAATACTTTTGCTTTGGTCGGAATCACTAGAATCAGACATATCAGTCGGAATTTGCTCCGAATCTTTTGTTGAACTATCATCGCGTTGTTTTTTTGGAATTTTTCTTTTTGGTTCATTTCCGGGCACAGTTGATTTACTGCCATCTTCAGTTGTTTTTTTGTTTTCCATTTCTTATGTAAATTAATATGGTTGGTTGAAATATTTGCAACACGTTTATTGTGGGTGATTAAAGCGAAGAAGTTAAATATTCCTAATGAAGTTTTTGAATCAAATTTTCTTAATAACCAACAATATTTTTGTTTTTTTTTTTTTTATAATAGAAAATTTTAATTTCTGTTAACTTAAAATTGTTCTTAACGTGAGTTTTAAGTTTTGGTGATGTTCATATTCAATAAGTTTATAGAACAAATTCAAATCCTGATAGTTACATTTCCTCATTTCCAGCTGCAGCTGCGTTTTGGAGCTTTTATTTTTTGATATTCGTTATTAAAATATATTTTAGAACACTTTATGGCCTACTCCCTGTGCTTTATTAGAACATCATTCACAAAATACTGTCAAATAATAAGTGCTGCATGTTAAGGGAGGACCTGTTTCAATACGAAAAAAAAAAACAAAGAGTAACGAAATATTTTTCATTTAAACTTTCATATAAGATTCGTTTTATTGAAAAATCTTTTAATAACACATAAAGTATCTTTTAATCAAGTTATTAAAATCAAACAAACTAAAAACTTATAAAATAAATTACATACTTAAAATATGTGCATAAACAAAAACGAGTGCAATAAACGAAATTTTTACAAGGTTTAAAAAACTTTTTATTTTCGGCTAAGTGCAAAATACAAATTTTTTAATATTATTCACTTAAATAAGAACGTACTAAGCCGTACCTAAGTACGGAGTTTTAACAATAATTGACAAAGCGTCATATACTGTATTATATCGAAAGTTCTTAACGCCAATAACGTTAATGGAATAATATCCTTTCCTTCTTGTATGCCATAATGCACGAATACATTTTCAAACCCCTTAAATAAGGTAGGCGTAAAATAGTTTGAAAATACTAAACTTAAAAAAAAACATTACATTATAATATATGAGATTTTTCTACTTTATTTCTAGAGCTATGTATTTTATCGAAACTCAGTCGTTGGATTGAATTAAATTTTCGATAAAAAAAATACAAGACAGGTAAATATTGTTTTGTTCCAAATTTCTATAAAATTAAGCAAATTAGCATTAAATATAAAATAATAATTTATATGGTCTATAAATTTGGGTGTATATATGAATAGCAAGCAGTAAAGTAATCAGTCGAGATTATTTTATCAAATTTATATATTGCAAAAATATTTTATTAGATAAAATTTTATAGAACTCAAGAGCGGACTTAACAAAATGTCCCCCCTTCGAACTACTTATGTGACACGTTGCAAGTAGAAATTATGATTATTTGACAGTAACTTATTAACTAATCTTGTATTCTGTAATATAATTTCTATTAAAGCAAGCTTAACTTAAAACAAAAAAGCAAACATTTCTATTTCTTATGCTAGAAGATATACATAATAGAACAAATTTTAAAATGTCTTTCCGAATTTTTGTTGTAACTTTTGAAAATAAAATGTACAAACTCACATTTAATAAGTAAACAAAGATTTAAAGAACTAACCACAATATTACCTTTAAAAGTATTTTAAAATACTTCTGAGCATTAAATAAATCTTTAGTGATGTATTTAACTTCTTTCACACTATTTTTACAATTTTTTTAATTCGTACTTTGCACCCAATATTTTTAATGCTTAAACTTTGTTTTAGCAACTTCAGTGACAAGACAAGACAAAGTAATTATGATTTACCGTGTCTAGTGCTGCCTATAATACATATACATTACAGTTTGAAACCAATTTGTGTTTCCGTTTTAATTTTTCAAATAACAGTAGATAACAATTTTTCAATAACGATAACACTTTCCAGAATGAGATAATTTAGACATCGAAACCTAGTTTTGATTTTCAGTACAAGCAACATATCTTACTGAATAATAAACTTTTCCTGGTGAACGTATTTTTTTTTTATAAAAAATTATTATTCAATTTTTTACTTTTTGAACATATCCTTTAAAATTGCAAAAAAAAAAAATAATTATAAATAACTTAGTTATTTTTTAATTAAATTATTGTAAAAGATTTCCTCAAAGCTTATTATTCTTTTATTAATAAGTTATTCTACATTCTTTCTTTTATATGATTTGTCTGAAAATGTAGCAAATTAGCGGATTTGCAGGAATTAGTATTTAAATGAGTTGTTCTTTATTTCTTGTCTCGTGAAGAGGTAAAGAAAATTTTAAAAGCCAAGTATTTCCTAAGAAAATTAAAAATTGATAGCGCTGAAAGTTGCCAAAATTTATAAATTAGAATTAAATGTAGGATAAATAATGACTGTTTAAATGTAGGATAAATGATGACTGTTTACATATCAGACAGAAATTTTCTGATGACACTCAGACTTTACATTTAAATCTAATAAATTTACTACAAAAATTATACCAAAAACAAAAACGCTGGAGGATGTTACCCCAAAAAATGAATTGTCGTCATTTTACTTTTAAAAAACTGAGATTAAATCTGATGAGAATATAGTAATTTTTATTTGATGTCAAAAAAAATCTGCATAGATCATTTATTTTGTGCAACGTGCTTAAAAGTTTATAAGTTACTTCCAAATAAGACAGCTGCAAGAAAAATTACGCTTTCATTCCATGCAACTACATGATGGTACATGAAATATACAGGGACTACAATTTTTAAGTAAAACTTTGTATTTGAATTTATTGTCGGTCAAAACAAACGAATTTGATTATGCAAACAATTTTTTTTAAAACTTTTTTAGTAATATGCATATTTTAAGAACAAAAATTGAAATAAATAAAGCTTTATTAAAAAAAGATAATAAAATTGCAAATAAATTTACATACATACTCATATAAGCTTCACATTACCAGAACTTGAAACAACTAGTTTTTCAGTATTTTAAAACTAACACGGTCTAATATGGAAATGAGCAATTGAATCTCTAATTGTAAGAGTGTGATAACTAATTTTATTGATTTATTTTGAAGGTCGTGTTATATTTTTATAATCAAATGTTATATAAAATTTTTTTTGATCAAATACGACTAAATGTGAAAGTAACAGGTTTGAAAGTAACAATTTAAAAAAAAAACATGGCGCACGTTTGATCCTTTTGGGTCAACATGGCAAAACTGAATTTATAATGTTTAGTAGCTCTTCAGTCTTTGTTCCGTAATTTCCGAAAACGGCCACCTTGTTAAGTTTTGCGAAATAAAAGATAAAAGAAGGCGAAGAAAACTCGTTTTAGAAACACTGATTATTTTTTATAGGAGATTTGTAAATATTCTTTGAGAAAAACAAAAACAACAATGTACATATACCCTGTCAAATCAAAGTAGAGCGGCATTTTACAAGTTTTTTTTTTGATATTTCATTATTATTATAGTTATATTATTAAAATTTAAAATAAATCTAAAAAACTAATGGATTCGGAGTTGTATGACGAATTCGGAAACTATATTGGTCCGGATTTAGACAGTGATGATGATGACGATGATCAGAGTATGTATGGGCAGGCGGATTTGCAAGATGATCAAGATGTAAGCATTTTTCAATTAAAATTAACCTATTAATTCTGAATTAAAATTCACCGTAAAATATATAAGGATGATGCCTTGGAAGAAGATGAGATCGAACACGAGGATGAAAAGGAGACACATGCCGTTGTGCTTCATGAGGATAAGCGGTATTATCCTACTGCTGTAGAAGTTTATGGGCCGGATGTTGAAACTATAGTTCAAGAAGAAGATGCACAACCTCTAGATAAACCGTTAATTGAACCTGTGAAAAAAATCAAATTTCAGTTAAAGCAACAAGATCTGCCTGAAACGGTTTTTGAAATGGAGTAAAAAAGCCCTGAAATATTAAAGAAAAAGACTTCAAAAATAATGTTAATTTCAGGTTTATGGCTGATTTAATGGATACACCACCCCTTATTCGTAATGTTGCTTTGGTTGGTCATTTGCATCATGGAAAAACAACATTTGTGGATTGCTTAATACGACAAACACATCCTCAATTTGACACCATGGAAGAGAAAAGCATTCGATATACTGATACTCTCTTTACAGAGCAAGAGAGGGGGGTTAGCATAAAAGCCGTTCCTACAACGCTTGTTTTGCAAGATGTTAAACATAAAAGTTATTTAATGAATGTTTTCGATACTCCAGGTTTTTTTCGTGGAAATATAATACGATATTTTTAATTATTGTGAAGTTTACAGGTCACGTAAATTTCTCTGATGAAGTGACGGCAGCAATAAGAATGGCTGATGGTGTTTGCGTTTTTATTGACGCAGCGGAAGGGGTAATGTTAAATACAGAGAGACTCTTAAAGCATGCAGTACAGGAAAAAATGGGTATAACGATTTGCATTAATAAGGTACATATAATAAAAAATTCAAATTCTATTTTCTGAAATTTAATAATAATTGTATATTGTGAATGTATTTATTTTAGATCGATCGCTTAATTTTAGAACTAAAATTACCACCTTCTGATGCTTACTTTAAGTTAAAACATATTGTTGATGAAGTCAACAGCCTACTTAGGTAAGTAAGCATACATACATTAGGTTCATAATCTGACATAAACTAAACTATTATTCAGTGTCTACTCGGAGCAACAAGAAAATTTATTGGTTTCTCCCATAATTGGGAATGTATGTTTTGCGAGCTCTTTATATGGGATTTGCTTTACATTGAAGTCATTTGCAAAATTGTATGCAGACACATACGACGGGGTTGATTATGTGGAATTTTCAAAAAGGCTTTGGGGCGATATGTATTTTCATAACAAGTCGTAAGTTTCTCTATAATGTTAAAATATTTCTCCTACAGCATTATTTAAAATCATTTTCTAGTCGAAAATTTACTAAAAAACCACCACATAACTCAGCACAACGTAGTTTCGTTGAATTTGTTTTAGAACCAATGTATAAAATATTCGCTCAAGTGGTAGGCGATGTTGATAGCACTTTAGCTGACACTTTAGCTGAGTTAAATATTAAAGTAACCAAGGAGGAAATGAAAACTAATATACGTCCACTACTACGCTTAGTGTGTAATAAATTCCTGGGAGATTTCAGTGGATTTGTTGACATGTGTGTTGAACACATAAAATCACCTTCTGAACATGCGAAAGATAAAGTTGACCACATTTATACAGGGCCAAAAGAAGGAGCTTTATATGAAAATATGGTAGAATGTGATCAAAATGGAATTTTAATGGTTCACAGTTCTAAAATGTACCCAAATGACAATTGTACATTTTTTCAAGTTTTGGGTCGTGTTTTGAGCGGAACTCTTCATGCTGGGCAAGAAATTCGAGTTCTAGGAGAAAATTTCTCTTTACAAGATGAAGAGGACTCTCGAATCTTACAGGTAGGCAGGTTATGGATATATGAAGCGCGGTATAAAATTGAAGTGAATCGAGTTCCAGCTGGTAATTGGATATTGATTGAAGGTATTGATCAATGTATTGTCAAAACATCGACTATAACTGATATCAACGTTGCTGAGGATCTGTATATTTTTCGACCTTTGAAATTTAATACCCAGAGTATCATAAAAATAGCTGTAGAGCCAGTTAATCCATCGGAATTACCAAAAATGTTAGACGGATTGCGAAAGGTAAACAAATCTTATCCATTACTTTCTACGAGGGTTGAAGAATCAGGTGAACATGTTATTCTTGGAACCGGCGAATTATATTTAGATTGTGTAATGCATGATTTAAGAAAATTATATTCTGAGATCGATATAAAAGTAGCAGATCCAGTTGTGGCATTTTGTGAAACTGTAGTCGAAACCAGTTCGCTAAAATGTTTTGCAGAAACTCCAAACAAAAAAAACAAAATTACAATGATTGCTGAACCGTTAGAAAAAGGACTCGCGGAAGATATCGAAAATGAAGTGGTTTCTATTAATTGGAATAAAAAACGATTAGGCGAATTTTTCCAATTAAATTATGACTGGGATTTGCTGGCTGCTCGCTCAATTTGGGCGTTTGGTCCTGATAATGCAGGACCAAATATTTTGGTGGATGATACATTACCATCAGAAGTAGATAAAGGTTTACTTAATTCAGTTCGGGACTCAATTGTACAAGGATTTCAATGGGGTACCAGAGAAGGACCTTTATGTGAGGAACCAATACGAAATGTGAAATTTAAAATATTAGATGCTGTAATTGCAAATGATGCACTTCATAGAGGTGGAGGTCAAGTGATTCCTACTGCTAGACGAGTAGCTTATTCTGCTTTTTTAATGGCTACACCTCGTTTAATGGAACCATATTTATTTGTTGAGGTGCAAGCACCAGCCGACTGCGTCTCTGCGGTGTATACGGTTTTAGCAAGAAGAAGAGGTCATGTTACCCAAGATGCCCCAGTTTCTGGTTCACCTTTATACACAATAAAAGCTTTTATTCCAGCTATTGATTCTTTTGGATTTGAGACTGATTTGCGAACTCACACACAAGGACAGGCATTTTGTTTGTCTGTATTTCATCATTGGCAAATTGTACCAGGTGATCCTTTAGATAAATCAATTATAATACGTCCTTTGGAACCCCAACAAGCTACACATTTGGCTAGAGAGTTTATGGTAAAAACTCGCAGACGAAAAGGTTTATCAGAGGATGTATCTATCAATAAGTTCTTCGATGATCCTATGTTGCTGGAGCTGGCGCGACAAGACGTTTTGCTTAATTATCCTTTATAATTAGATCAATATTAATTGAAATTATAAAGAAAAATAAAGACAAAAAAAAACTATATATACTAAAAAAATAATCTTTTACTAATAATTAGGTATTAATGTTTTGTTTGGTAAATTCGTCAAATTGTTCAAATTCGTTAGTTTTCTTAAACAGAAATGGTAGTGAATTCGGTTTAGCATTCTTTTATTAAATAATAAATTAAATAGTCTCTATTAATTCGAATTAATGTAGCATTAAAGTTCGACATTGTTAAATTTGTACGCAGTATAGAGCAATGAAAAAATTGCGATGCGATTACGCCATACCGAATTTAAACCGCGTTGAATAATAATATTGTCATAAAGGTATGATTGAATTAATGTTTGTATAAAACGTCAATAACAATGAAATTAATGTTTTAACTTAGGCCATAAACATTTAGAATTTCGAATTGGGTGTGGTGATTTTGGTGGTGTACCAGCGATTTTAATAATTCAGTTCAAATTTTGTATTAAATGTGTCCTTTATTTTACAATAAAGTATTGTACGTAGTGTCAAAAAAATGTGTTTTGGGTGTTTTTGATAATGCAATATGTTTTCACATTTCCAATTTAGAACTTAAATAGCTTAGACAACAGAAAGACGCAGCTGTAAAGGCTATAGGTTTGATATTAGCTATAAAAGCTTTTTAAATTCTGAAAGTTCCAACTTGGTTCTAAATTTGCGATTTTGCACAGTATTTCAAAGAAATTTTATATATGTATATATAAATTTTAAAATAAAATGTACAAACATTTTTTAGATGCCCAAAATGCTTCAAAATGACAAAAAAGAAGTTTTAAACTTTTACTTAAGAGACTTCAAAATAACTTGCTAATACTTGCTTGTACTCAAGCGAAAAACCTTCGGCTATATCAGCATTGTATACAATTAATTTTGTTAAAAACTCAAATTTCTCATATTTCTTATCCTTTTTGCTCTGTAAAATACAAAATTTTTACTATAAAATTAATTAAATAATTTTTGTAATTACTAACTTCCATTTTATACATTAAACCTAGGAAAATACTGATCTGATGATGGTTTATCGGTTAAAAATACTGAAGTGATAAAAAATTACTATCACGTCGTATGAAAAGTTTTACAGAAAGAGCACACAGGGTGATTTTGACATCTGCCATCACATCAAGATTGGTAACACTTTTTCTTATCACACAAAATCATTTCCCACAAAAATACCATTTAGTCGTTTAATAGTAATGGGCTGAAATTTACCAAATTTACTTTTAATATAATATAAAACAATCAAAATTGTAAAATTCCTTGTGTAGCGAATTCGCTATATTATAATATTATAATAAGCGTTTAAATTTATTTTTTTAATTAAAAATTTTACAAAATATCTAAATTTTTAACTCACGAAACATTTGATATGCTTGCTAAAACTGTAATGCCAGTGTATATGATAATATTTCCTTGTTTTTGTTCCATTATTTTCTTTAAAAGTTGCTCGAAACCATGTTAGAAATACGAAAAACGGAAGAAGTGAGGAATATAATAGAACGGCATAAAAATGTAAGTATTTCAATTCAAAAAAATTTGAGTGCTAAAAGGGAGTACATGCTTATGTATATTTATGATAAAGATTTATTTACTTGATGTACTATTATACTTTTCAAACTCGAGCATTACTTTGCGGATGTTTTTGTTAAATCATTAATAGTTAGGTAATGTAATAATTTATACTAATAGAAAATTATAAAAATATTGTATATAAAAAATAATTGTATGAGCATCCACGAAAGGAAGTAAAACAAATTGTGCTTTTTGAGATCTTGATTTATTCTAAAATTTAAGCATTTTTATATTATTTTCAAATTTGGAAATAAATTTAAGATATCTACTAAAAATGTTTATTCTTGTTTTGCATTGCCTTCTTTAAATGTGTCTTCTGTATTATTTTTTTTTTTTGTTTTTCTTTTTTTTTTTTTTTTTTGATGAAATTTATATATACGTATGTTTGTATTAATAGTTAATTATTTTTCTTAATTAAAAATGATAAAAATACTAGAAATTAAAAATGTAACGCTTTAATTAAAAATTATTGAACTTTTTATTCTTATAATAATTTTTGTTTTATTTTATTTTTTTTAAAACTAATTTAGTGTTTGAAAATCAAAAGTAGATATACAACAACATTTAATTAATATTTAATTTCTTATTATTTTAAATTAAATAATACAATTATTTAAATCATTTATTAAAGAATAAAATTTATTTTTAGAGAAGAAGAAAAAAAATGAAATCAAAAAAATGTAACCGAAATATAAATATAGTCCTCGATTATTAAAAATTTCATGGAAAATTGAAAATTTTTAACATTTAAATTTTATTTTTTTTTTTTATTTAAAGGAATTCAAGAACAATCAAGAGTTACTCTTAGTTTATATTTTAAATTATATTATTACGTAATTAAAATATAAAAATATTTTTATTTAAAAACGGAAAATTAATTACACTGAAAAAAAAAACAACATAAAATTTCAAATATTTTCAGAAATTATGATTGCAATTAAGAATGTTGAACAATTAATTAATTTAAAAAAATTTTTTTTTAATTTATGAAATTTTTCTTTTTCAATTAGTATAAGTAAATAATTGTAGTTTCTTGAAAACAAACGTAACAAATTTGTATAAAACACCACATTTTGGAGTGCCGATAACAATTTTGAATTATCAATATTCAATGTTATCGGTTCAAACTTTGTTTTTTTGCTTTTTTATTTAAAAAAAAAAAATAGTTTAAATTAAATATTTCGAATGATTTTATAAAATTCCGGGACTATATTTACTATACATTTTTATAATATTATATTTATAGTTTACAATCCTTTGAATTAAAATGATTTCCTTTTTTTTTTGTTTTATCTACATAATTCTTAATTTATATATATATATGTATATATGTATTATTTTAATGTTTATATACTTAATTAGATTTGTTTTTAGATTTTTGTTTCTTTTTTTTTTTTGAATTTTTTATTTTTCAAATTTTAATTTCAAATATAATTTAAAAAAAAAGAATAAAAAAAAAAGTTTTTTTTTTTTTAATTACAAGTAATTACAATATAGTAAAACAGAAAAAAAAATTATTTTTATACACGGAAATAAAATTATTTTAAGAGATTTTGTGTTTTTTTTTTTATAAATATTTCGTTTAATTTTCATTTGGTAGCAGGAAAAAGAATAAATAATAATTAGAAAATTTTTTTCAAGCTGTTAACAAAATTATTGGGTTTGTTTTTTTTTTTAAATTAATTTAAATAACATTTATTACAATTTTTAAATTTTAGAATATTTTGAAATTCTGGATTTAATCACAAAATAGTGTAACATTATAAATGCATATATGTATGTGTCTACGAACATCCTTTCTGCTTCAAATAATTTATTTCCGCGCAAAAAAATTATTAAAATAATAAAAATAAAAAAAAACGAAATATGAAACACATTATTCTTTTTTTTTGTTTTTGTTATTTTTAAAATTTAATTTTTAAACAGAGAAAATTGTTTTATGAATTTTTCAAAGGGGGAAAAGTAAAAATAATAATAAAATAATAAAAATAATTAAAATTACAAAAAAAAAATATTTTTTTTTTTCAATTGATACAACAAAAAGATTTTTATTTCAAAACTATTTTATGATTTTCTTTTTTTTTAATTTTATTTAATGATATTCAATAATATTATTTTTTTATTTTGTTTGTTTTATTTATACTTGTATTTTATTTTATAATCATCGTCATTTTCAATTCAGACTGTTCAGATGATTTCATTTGTGAAATATTGATTTTGTTTTACTCAAATTTTAAAATTTCCTGTTTTTCTTTCTTCTTCGGTTTTTTTTTGCTTTCCATTCTTTTCATTCATCTTCATGTAATTTTATTTTTCTTAATTTTTATTGTATTTTTGTTTTATACTAAAATACATATACATTTAAATTACAATTATTTTTTATTTTGATTTTATTTAAGTAATTATGTTTTCTTTTTTTTTTTTTTTTGATTTTATTTAATTTTTATAATTCTAATATTAAAATTTATTTATTTTCTTTTTTAATATTTTATATAATATTATGTAGTTAAGAAAAATTTGGCAATCAATGGTATATTAATTGTATACACACACACATATACATATATTTCTATATATAATATTTCTTTTCTAAATTGTATTTATGTAATATATCCTTATATATATATACATATATATACACATATATATAAATATATATAAACATATTTTTTACTTATATATTATTATATATAATGTATATTTTATTTATATTATAAGTAATATTTAATATTTTAAAAATAAATTTACAAAATTGATTGTAAACTTAAAATTAAATATTCATTTAAAATTAAAGGAAAATTTATTTAGATTTGTTTTTAATATTAATTTAATAAAAATAATAGTTTGTGACTCTTTTAAGAAAATAAAAGTAAAAAAAAAAGTTTACGCTATCTAGCATTAATGACGAATCAATAAATATATTTTGACGACCCCGCAAGTCATATATGCCCAGAGAGCAATTTAGAACTAATAAGTTGTATATTTCTATGTAAATATTATGTATGAATCTTGTTGAACTTGTACTAAATATCTTAATTGACAGTAGATAAAATAATAATAATTTAATTTTAAAAAGTAGTGCGCATTCAATTTTTTTCGCCCTCTATATGGAAGTGAAGTGCATTGAATCAAAGAGAAATTTCTAAAATAAAATTATTGAAAAAACAAAATGTTTTGAAGTTATTTTATAAATTAAAATAAGAATTGCTGCCATTAATATTTCTAGACGAACTAACAAAACGTATTGAAAATTCTCAAAAATAAAAAAAAAAAAGAAATGATTTATCAATCGTGCATCGGAGTCGTACAATATTAATCACTTTTTTTTTGTTGTAAACTTTGTTGTTTCGAAAACTGATTTCATCTTGGTGGCCTAATAAAATTTTTGCATACATATATATGTACATATGTTTATTCGGTATAACTTGTTCTAATCAAGAATAATTTGGACTATTAATTTCACAATTTAAGAAATTTTATTTTTTTAAATTTAATTATAAAAATAAAAATTAAATTATTAATAAATTTTTTTCCATTTTTTTTTTAGAGATTAAATTTTTGGAAAATTATTAAGTGGTCTTTGGAGCCATTTTATTATTTTTCTTTTTTTTTTTTTATTTTAAATACTGAATAATTCTTTTTATATGTGTGTATATATGCACAGTTTAAACTTTAAAGGATTTAAAATTGTGTAAATTGTGTGTTTTTCTTTTCCCATAATATGAAATTGAAATTATTTAATAATATAAAAAATTAAAATAATAAATAATAAATTTGCTTTAAACTTGCACAATAATATTAAATTAAAAAAAAATCTATGTATGTAAGAGAAGAAAAAATTTATTTTTTATTAAGCTCATAAAAAAAAAGTAAACCAATTTTAGTAATTTCTTAGGTCAATTACAAAAATTAAAAAACAAATTATTATCTATTTTTATTTTAACAAAATTATTATTTAAATTTTAATAAATCTTGTTGTAAAAAGTTTGAATTATAAAAAAAAAAACGATAGAGTAAAAAGATTATCTTTAAAATTCATATTTCAACACAAATTAAAATTATAAAATATGAAGAACAATAAAATATTTATTTAATTTGATCAAATTTATTTAAAGAAATCTTCCAATTTAATTTTTATTTTAGAAAGCATATTTTGTATTTATATATAAATATAATAAATTTACATTATATGCAAAACGAAATATAAATTTAATTATAATATGAAAAAGGTAATGATTTTTAGATTATATTATTTTACAAATAAATATTTGTAAAATAATCAAAAAAAAAATTTTTTTTTTAATTTAAATTTTTCTTTTCTTTCAACAGCAACACTGAAGTTAAAGTTATTTATATTTATTTAATATTCGGTATGTTTGAAATTTTACATATTTTCTAATTTATATAAATCATAATGAATTGATATTGTATTTAAAATGCATTTATGAAAATTATTTCTTTGCATGTATAAAGGATTCTTTTTGCAATTAACATTTTTTTTTTACTTTATTTCGTTTTGCATAAATTTTTTGTAAAAATATTACTTTCCAGATTGCTTATAGTTTTATTTTGAAATATTTTTGTAAATTATTATTTTGAATTGTTGAGGGATTTGGTTAAAACATAAAGTATTTTAAATTACTTTCAATTTATAAAATGGAAAATTTCAATAAAAGTATTTTTATTAATTTATAATATTTTTTTAATATAATTTATACGTTTTTCTTTTTTTTTTTGGTAAGTGTTATTTCCAATTTTTTATATCTTTTTAATTTTCATAGTATAATTTTTATTTATTGTTTTATTACAGAGATTATAATAATATGATTTTGTTTCATAGGTAAAAATATATTGTATAAAATGGGATTATTTTTGAAAAAAATGGTTTAAGGTTGTTGATTTTGGTGGTAGTTTGGATTTTATTGATTTTAATAATGAATTGTCGAAATTTTAATGATTTTAGCAATACATTGTTTTTTCACTTAAAATTATTATCTTTTTCTTTATATAATTTTTAATATTTGTTATTGTGTATTTTTTAAAATTTTTTTCAAATTTATCAAACTTTTTTCCAATAATAATTTGATTTTTTTCTTCACATGATTCAAAATACTTATTGTTCTTGTTACAATTTTTATTTTTTTCATTATTATTTTTATTAATATTTTTCTTATTGTTTTTATTATTGATTACAATATTCTTATCATAATTATTATTATTATTATTATTATTATATTTATGAATATTATTATAAATATATTTCTCATAATTGTTTAGAGTATATTTATTATAATAATCGTAATTATCATTTCTATTAATATTATTTTCATGTAATTTATCATAGTTATTGATATAATTATTACAATATTCAATATAAATTTTATTTTTATTATTATTTGAAATAAATTCATCATAGTTTAAAATAAGAGGAAATAATAGATTGTAATCATTAATGTTATTTAAAGTGATGATTGATATATTTTTATTTATTTTATAATTAATAATTTTTTGATTGCATTTATTATAATCATTACTGAAATATTTTGTATATTGATATTTAATATTATTTCCATTATAATTAATACAATTGATATTATTCATGTTATTTTGGAAATAGTAACAAGTTTTAGTGAGAAATTTAAATTTTTTTTTCAAATTATTTTTATAATTTTTCATATCCTTAATATTGTTTATAGTTTTGTTGGAAAAACAGTTTTCTAGTTGTTTATTAATTTTATTATAATATTGATGTTCTGGTTGTTGTTGTTCTTCTGTATGTTCTTGCTTGACTTTATTTTGTTGTTGTTGTTGTTTTGGTTGTTTTTGTTGGTTTACAAATCTTTTTTGTCGAATCAATTGTTTTTTCATTATGCTAAATTTATGCGGTAATAAATGTAAAAATAATGAAGACGTATTTTGTTTTCAGCTCATTTTTACACGTTTTCTTGGTGGTCCAATTGGTGGGATTTGTTGTGTTGCTAGCGCTCGAAATGCCTCAGCTATCAAATGGGGATGTGATGCGATCATATTTTTCCATCCAACTGTTTCTACAACATCTGTTGGATGACTGAAATGAGAAAACATAAGTGTTTTTAAAAATAAATTCTAAAATTTTAAAATTGATTTTGTTTTTATATAATAAATATATTGCATATATAAGTATTTAAAAAAAAAATGTCACTTACGTATTAATAAAATCTATTGTTTGTGCTTTTAATTGATCTGCACTATGGAGATCAGCTAAAATTAAAGTTTCAGCTGCCGTTTCAACAGAAAGATTAACACAGAGCGCTTCTTCACACATAACTTTGAGTTTTTCCAAAGCATACTAAAATTAATTTGTAGAATTTTTTATTAAAATTTTTATTTAAAATATAAAAAGTATTATTATAAAAATACCTTATCAGCAGCAGCCAAGAGATCATCAGCCATTTTTTCTAAATTTGGAGCTTTCCCCGTATATATAAAACGTAACATTTCTTTTAAAACTTCATGATCAACATCAGTTATTGCTACCCGATTTAATTTTCTTTCTTCCATTTCATGTTCAAACATAGCAGCAAATACAGGGCTTCTTGCTGTTTTTTAAAAATATTTTGAATTATAATAAATATTTCATTTACTCGTACTTATAAACATATAATATATATTTAAATTAATCAAACATTATAACAATACCTGCTAATATAGCTTTATGTGCTTGAAATTCTCTTCCTCCAACAGCTAATGTAACATCACTAAATTTTTCATTATCAAATAAATTACCCAAATCATCTGATAATTTACATTCGGGAACTTTAAATTGTACAATATTACTCTGACCAGAGATATTAACACTATCTGCTACAACACTAACTTCACAAAATATTGTTAATTTATCTTCAGGTAATAAACCATTTGCTTCATCTAATAGAAAATCACGTCGAATAAATTTTTTGAAACCCCAATCTTTACCTTGAACAAAACGATATGCCCTACAAGAATATTATAAAAATAATAAAAATATATTGGAAATATTTAATAAACATACATATGTAGGTATTAATTAAACAAAAACAAACCTTTGTGATTCCATTGCTTTGGTTTCCTCACGTTTAGCATTTAAAATTGAAAATTTGAATTTTGCCCTTACTTCTGATTTGTTACACGATACTAATAGTAGATATAATGATAAATAATCTTTGCTTTCTTCATCGAGGCCCTTGGGATTAACTCGCAAACACCTGAAAATAGAAAAAATAAATACAAGTTAATAAATAGTAAAGACTTTAATATAACACTATAACAGTTAATTGATAATAAAATTTTAAAAGAAATTACCATTTTAATTTATCGTTAGCACCTGCTGAAAAAGTTGATGATTTTAAAACTTCACCCATTTCTTCTCGACAAAAGCTAAAATTGTTTATAGTCCACATGTAACTGAATTTAACAACTTTAACCTGAAAATAAAAAAACAAAAAAATGTATTTTTATTAATATAAATTGAATTTTAATTTTTTAGTAATAATGATTTTATTTTTCTTAACTTAATAATTAAATTTGAAATTCATTTTGGTCTTTCCTTTAATAAATTCATACGCCATTACAATAGTGTACAAGATGTTATAATAGGTTTTTTTATTCAAAAGAATTATTGGCTTCAATTTGGAGGTATATATACATATGTACAAAGCAATGCACAAAAATCCGCAAAATTCAAAATTCAATGTAGTTATGCAATGCGTACAAAATGTGTAGAACATGGGTAGCAATGTCAATAAATGCTATCGATATTACAGTCCCTTATTGACACTTTCGTCAAATGCTGTAGTAGTTTTAGTGCTGCATTTATAGCGCATTAACATATGTGTGTGCACAACATAAGTCAGGGTAAGATAATTTTGTTTTCATAAATCCATCAATCGTTTTAGTATTAACTAGCATTTATTTCATTACCGAATTTGCCCTTATGCCAACACATCGTATAAAGTAGTTTACTGACATTATATTTAGTGATTTACTGACAGAGTATAAAATAAGCCCTGACAGTATTGTAAATGTTATTATAGATAAATATACAATCATATGCCATTACGTAATTCGAATACACTAAATGTACCTTCAAAAATACTCTATAAAAAGTTTTATAAGTACGGCATTAAATCGGTTCTGCTATCGCCTCAAAGATTTTAGTAACGCTAATTTTGAAAAAAAAAAATACTGAAGCTATTGAAACGTTTTTAAATAAATTTTATGCATATATTTTTTTTAATAATTAAAAATTTAGCATTTTCATGCTAGATCTTAGATTATTTTATTAATTCTTAAGGGTTTTAGCAATAAAATATAGATCAAAATATACAAAATTCGTTTAATTTAATTTTCTTAATTATCTCTCAGTATTATCACAGTGCACAATTCTAGAGATCGTTGCAAGAATTACTAAATTTTTATTATAACATACTGCCGAGTTTCATATATGTACATATGTCAATTGTTTTTTAATAGAAAAGGAAATTCAGTCAACTAAAAGCTCAACTATTTAGGTTTTGTTAATTTGTTTTTATTTTTTTTTTATTAATCTTTAATATAAATTTAGATTTTGCTACATATTTGCAATAAATTGGGGTAAAAACACATAAACCAATAATCAAAGAATGCCGCCTGCTCACTGCTTTGTGTGAATGTTTTTTTTTTTTTAGTTTTCAGTTTATTTGCTTTTTTTTTTGTTTCTCCTTTAACCAAATGCTAAATATTATATTTCATCAAATATTATTTAACAATAGCAATAATGAATTTATCTACGCATATACTTATATATATGTATATGTACATACTTATTGGGTTATCTTCTAATTTGCAAAGATTGCATTGAACTCTTATTATATAAACATACAATAAGCGTTCATACATTATGTACATACGTGAATAAATATACAATATACAAAAAGTGCTTGAACTAAAAATTAAATTTTAAATATGACAATTATAAAAAAAAAATAATATTGTTTTAAATTGTTGAGGTCTTTTAATATGCAACGCAACATTAAATATTTATTTTTGACATACTTAATTTTTGTAGATACATATATGTATACATATTATGTAAATTTACATATAAATAACCTGCTTAATGAAAACTAAAAAAAAAAATTAAGTACAAATTTTAAATATAAATTTTAACATTTTTTTCTTCGAAAATTTTTTAAAAAATCTTAATTTTTCATTCAATTTTAATTAATTGAAATATTAATTATATTTATAATTATTGCATTCAAACAAATTTATCTACTCTATGCAATATGTGAAATTATCTTATATAAATTAAATTTTCTCTAGATTTTTTAAGTAATTTTTTATAAATTAAAGTCAAAGAGTGATTGAACAAAAATTCATTAGTTTAATTAACAGCATAAGATTTTAATCATGAATAAGTGATTACTGATTATATTATAGAATTACTATGCCCTTTTTTTGTAATTTGGCTCTGAGGCAAATGATCACCTTATTATAATATATTATTTAATATTATGTGCATCACTTTAGCTAATCTAATATTATATTTGAAAAATTTTATAATTTTCTAATTAAAATCTATAAATTTTGAAATTTCAATTTCTATATACTCTAAAAACCTCAATAATCTTAAAAGTAATGAGAATAATTACTTCAAGCGATTCCTATTCTAACACCTTATGCATTTAGCAGAATATAATTGAGTACAGTAAAATTTTAAAAATAAATGAAAAAAAAAAGAAAAATTCTATTAAATTAGGAATGAATTGAAGCTTTTATTCTTATATATTTTTTGAATTATCAATTTGAAATTGATAAATTTCATAATATGCATACATATGCATTGTACATTAGTATAAGTATAATTTTAAAATATAAACAAAATAATGTTTATTATGTAATTTTTCATAAAAATTGAGACCATGGCTCAGACTATTGCAAATAAATCTTCATTGAAATTAATTTAAAAAAAAATTAAACAATTAAATTTTATGTTTTTTGTTTTTTTTTTATTAAAATATGTTATTGGATGTATGCATGTGTAAGTATATGTGTAACATACATTTGTACATGATATATGAAATAATTACTTAAAAATTACGTACACTCTAAATATATTTGTACGTTACGCTTCTACTATAATTTAAGAATTAATGTACATAATGTATGCATGTATGTATGTAAATATGTATATAAGAAATAGTACAAGTGACATTATTACAATTTTAAATTGCATTTTAGTTTTGTATATTTATACATTATTAAAAATATGACATTTTTTTTTTGTTTTGAATTGAATGTTTCTAGGTTAAGATTTTTGGGTCATGGTATATTATATTTTATATAACAGTTATTATTATTATTGTTATATTAATATAGATCAAGGTGCATAGTATAAATATTAAAAAGTAGAAAAGAAGAATAATTATTTTGTATATGTAATTTTTTTGACTATCTATGTCACAGTTACAGTGTTTTATTGAAAACTAAGTTTATTTTTTTATGATGTACGTAGGTATGTATATGTAAATTGCAAAAAGTATTCTTTTTTTTTTATAAAATCTACAATTTTACTTATATTACACGTATAGTTGCATAAACTGTTATAAAATAAAAATTTTTTTCTCATCATAAAATCTACCAGAAATAATTGATAAATATTTAAAAAAAATATTTTAAATATAATAAGTAAAATTGTATGTATGTAATATGTATTTGGATATATAAATCTATGTATATACGTTGTAGGATAATCTAAATTGCATACAACTGAAATCAAAGAAAAAAAAATAAATCTTATTAGAATATTACTATTATTGAAAGTGGGGCAATAGGTATACAAATTTAGTAGGGGCAATAGGTATACAAAGTTTGGGATATGACTATTTCCAATTACCAGGAAGAGAACATGAAAATCGACTATGTGCTTGTATTATTATTAATTTTTTTGAAAATTTTCTTCTTATGGTCCACTTAATTTTATTTCAAAATACGAGTACTACAATTTATTGCAATTTTAATGTCAGGGATAAGCCCAAATTTTTTGAAAATAAAATTTGAATACGATATTTATCTAAGAAAAATCATAAAGCATGTCATGACTTTCTTGTATTTAAATTATTTATGTAGCACAGGGCAGCACTACGAACTTAAAACTTATGTAGTAAACAAGATTATTTTGGTTTCCAATATAGTGTAAAACAAATTTAATCTCAATTAGAAATTCTATTATTATCTAAACTTCTCTTAAATTTTTATTAAATTTAAAATATTAGTTATTCTGTTATAATTAAAGGTTATGTAACTTACTTTTTTTGACCAAAATTCAATTATGTACAAAAATAATTTTGTAATAGAAAAAATAAAAATTGAATGAAAACAAAAGAATTTCAATAATAATAATATGAAATAAACCTTCTAATATTAAACAGATTTTATTACTGCAGTATGCTGTATAACAAGTAAGTATAATGGATTTAGCAATAAAATGATAAAAATCAAATCAAATTTTTAAAACAACCGTTCAACAACGAAAAGAAAAAAAGAGAAAAGAAGAACAAGCATGAATAGTAAAAATATATGAAAAGAATTAACTGTAAAACTGCAAATATTTTAACGGTAATTTGGTGGAATTGTTTCTTGTATAAAGTAATTTTGTGTATTTTCGTTCAGGAATTAAAAAGTGACAGTGGTAGACTAAAATGAATACAATCAAATACCTACATACTTACATATATAGATATCTACAATACTTGTACATATTTTAGTGTTTCAAAATAAATTATGTAATGAAAATTTAGGCCAGTCTACGGCTATTATTTGATTTTATCCATATCGTACCATAATTTGGTATTTTCTGTTTTTCTTTCAATTATTTTAGCTTTCATTTTTGTTTATTCTTTTTTTTTTTTTGGTTTATTTCATGTGAGTAATGCAGACCAATTTAATGAATATTTTTTTTTTTTTTTTTTTTTGAAACGGGTTGAATAATTTTATCATAACAACACCAAAATAAGAATTGAAAAATATCTAAATATTAAATAATTTATTTTGCGATCACTTAACTTTAGTGACGTTTTTTTCTTCTCTTAGTTTTTATTTTTCTTTAATTTTAACACATTTATTGTCGTTTGTTTTTCTATTAGGAAATTTGGTCAGTTACATAGATTTATTTTTATGTAATATTTTATCTTATATGTTTGTGTGTGCAATAATGTATTCGATATTTAAGAAAAAAAATATGTATATAAGCTAGTGGCGCCCTCATTTTTTTTATACTTTGTAACATGAATTTTATACACTAATGTATTTTAATTAATTCCATATTGGGTCTTAATGCATAGGTATGCTCGGTGATATATGGATTTATGTACCAATTGAAATTATATTACCGTTATCTATAATGTTACCTACTGCTCTACTGTAACAGATTAATAGTAAATTA